TTTATAAGGGTCTCTCCAGTATGAAATAGAATTCCTGGTGTTGATCTTCAGATGATAATATAGAGACTATCTCTTTATTCAGGTTTCTGCTCCAGTGAATGAGAGGTATCTGTTACTAGGCTTTTTGTTGTTGTTTCATTACTAGGTCTTTGGGTCGGTTATCTTTGATTTTTATTTTAGTTGGGGGATTGTTCTTTTTGCTACTGATGGATGTCTTACAAAGGGCTTGTAATAAGCTCATTTTGTAAGTTGATAATAAAGAAATAGAATACCAAAACAGGAACTCACTTCTTCTGCAGTCCATCTTTCGTGCAAGAACAATAAATTCCAGCACTACTGTAGTACAAGTCTTCATAAATAAAGTCAAGAAAGAAAAAAAATCATACTGCAAGTAACAGTGTTCATGAATACTATAGAAGGGGGGTTTTGGGATGTTTCATAGTTGATTTATTTTTTTTCTGCTTGTTCCTATCTGGTTTATATCATAAGTTTTAAGAAAAGTGTGTTGGACTTTTTTCTTCCCCTCTAATTTATGAGTTACCTTGGCACACTCAGCCATGTTGTAGAACCTACGTACATGAACATCTTTGATTTTTCTAAATTATTTTCCCATTGACTTTTGGCAATAGGTGTAGTGTGGAAATTAACATTCAGCCTGGGATGTTTTGGGAGAAGAAAAGCTCAGTTGCAACCTCAGAAATTTTTCAAGTATGTTATGTATTCTGTGCCAAGTATGCTCATTCCTTTTGCAAGTTCATTTTCAAAACTCCCTTCTTTGGACAGCTTTATTTCCTAATTTCTGTTTTGAGAGGGCATGCAAATATTAACCATTATCCTTGATATAACAGCAGAAGCTGCTCATCAGTAAATGTAAGGATTGATTGCTCAGGTCTTTTTGAAAAGAAATTATAGTTAGCAACTTTTCCAGGAAATAGAACTTACTGACTATCTAAGAGAGGTCTGTGTATATGGTATCAGGGCTGAGCCACAACTGACCAAAAATACTTTGTTTCCTATGTTTTTTTTAGTTATTCTACTACAAATGAGGTGAAAAAAGTCCTTAAGAAAAAGGACATTATTATTTTATCTCATGATTTTATATTGCTTTGCCACATACGCATGCCTCTAGGTAGGCAACTAAAGCAAGACTTGCTAAGGAGTTCCCTGAATTTCTTGTACTCTATGTGTTTCTTGTTCCTCTTGAATATCTAGGCCCAACTTCGTTCAGTGCTGGACTATTTTATGTGTTTTTCTGGTTTGATTCTTGCTGACATGTGCTCTTGCAATAGTCTTTGGTTGGAGGAAAACTGTTTGAAATGCATTCCTCTGGTAGAGAGCTAAGGATTAGAGATTAGGTGACTATGTCAGAAGATATTATTGCTAAGCAGAAAGGTATTATCCATCTCTTGAAGGTAACTGAATGAAAACCGAAAGCTATTTTGGCTCTCCTTTACTTACAAAAAGGGTTTTCTCACTCTACCTCTTGTGATAGGAGGATAGCTACAGCCTGTGCATGATGTTTTGACTAGAAAGAATGTGTTGGAGTTGTAACAGTAGATGCCCTATATGAATTTCTTATATCTTTTACACCCCTATTTTATAGAATTCTGTGTTCTAGTTTTCATATATTCCATATATTTAATTTTATTTTTATGGATATTTATAGAGATAAATATAATAAACTGTTTGAGTCAGAAATATGAGAAGGAAAAGGATAGTCATCTTGTAGAATTATATTGTCCTTTGTTTCCAAGTCACCTAGTAAGCAGATCTACCTTGTCTAATATATGTTAGGAAAAAGAAACGTACAGTCAGTATTCCTTTTTTCCTCTTGTTTTCTGTCCTTTTTTCCTCCTCCTATAATTCTTTATTGTCTTCTTGATTTTATCTGTGAACTTCTCTGGAAATGAATTGGAAGTAGCATTGTTTTTTTTTTCATTTGCAAAACTGCAAATCTTGCCATTGTATAAATTCACAGGAGAAAGTTTCAATTGTTTTCACAATCCTTGAGCTGATAAATCACTTCAGGGGAAAAAAAGTTTCAGTTAAATAAGATCTGTTCATTAAGAAGAAAAACTTCAAGTTACATCTGTATCACATTGTTCCTTTATTTTTTACCTTTGTTTAATATTTCGCTATACTGGAAAAACTCCCAGAATATCCAGAGTGTTGTCAGACTGCGTGTTTATTTTAGAAAGAGTTTTGGTAATTTGTACATGGAAATCTAAAAAAAAAGTGAGGGGTGCAGTGATTTCTTTTGCTGGTATTCATGGGGATTTTCGTTGTTGATTTTCTTTTTTTTTAATTTTTCTTTCGGTTTTGTCCGTAGTGTTTAGATTAGGTTGGTCTGTTCTTGTTCTGATTCTTAAAGATGAATTTTTTTAAATGTATCTGAAAATACACTGGAGATTCTGCTGTTTCCTAGAATTGGCAAAGAGGCTGAATTGGTTTGTAACTTCACATTTACATTCTGCTATTTCAGACTTGCCTCAGTCTTCTGGTGCTCAAATCTGTTTTGGCTTCTATGTAGTCCTTGGGAAACAAAAAATGAATTGGGCTGTGGTAATCAGGGTATGGCTAAATCCCTGGCAAACAGGTAATCTTAGTAGGATTAAAATAATTCCTGATTTATAGTTCAAGATTAAAGGCCATTTTTACAGATTACTTCATATAGTCAGTCTAGACAGTCTATAGATAGTCTAGTTATAAAAATATTTTTTTACTTGTTTCCTCTTACTCACTGAAATCAATAGGGTGCTTAAAATAGTAACAAATACTGACTTTCTCTGTGTCTGTGTAATCACTATCGCATTCTCATTAATAGTATACATGCCTCTCTTTTCCCAGTGCTTACACAAATGCCTACCTCCACTTTTGAAGGACTAATTCTCCTGCTCATTGTGCTTAGTGTGTCTGCAGAGAGAGTATGAATAACCTCTTGTACTACTAACCTCTGTTCTGTTGGACTCTTCATGCAGAAAAAATCGTGTGGCAATAAGTAAAATTTTGGTCTCTTTCATCCAGTAATTTTTGTAGTCTCTTCACTTAAGAAGAAAGTCAATGCCAGTAATGCTTCTGTAACTAATATTTCTCTTTAAATATCCTCTCCTTTGAGCCCTCTACATGTACAGCTCACATTGACTTCAGGGGATGTTCTATAAATTCAGAAGTTGTGAATTTTGCACATATGATGAATGGTATAGACAACATATTTGTCCCTTGTTCTTTAACTGAAATAATGAAGATGAGAAAGCATAGTTTATCTGAAACTAACTGAGGATTGCTCTCTTCTTTTCTCTCCTTCTTCTCCTGTTTTGAAATTTGACACTTTGCCATGGTGAACTCTGGAGGAGATAAATAACCAAACCTTTCTCTTATGTTTTCCAATTTTCATTCCAGTCTTACAGCTCCTGATTTTCAGATATTTATCTCCTGAAAAGAATTATTTATTTTTTCTCTGTTCGTTGTGCATCTCATTGTTTCCCCCTCCAGCAGGGAATTGTTCCTAGAGTATAGTAATGTGAGGAATCTCAGTAAGAGAAGTCATCAAAAGCAAGGCAACCACCTACTTGAGGGTCAACTTTGGATACTGTGATATTATAATGCCTAAAATTTTAGTATGTGGTTACAGTAAAGTGATTCAGATAATCAAATGAGTACAAAATTCCCAATCCTGTAACTGAAGAGGATAAAGGACTATTAAGTGACATTCAGAAGGCTTGCATATTAAGTGAGAAGCTGAACAAAACTAGTCCAAAAGAAACACTGGGCACAGAGAGAGTTCTGAACTCCTGCCCTTCTCTGGCAGTTGGCCACTTGATGCAGGTACCGTAGATAACTCGGCTCAATAAGGTTCAGAACCTAAGTTCATCTTCTGAGGATAATAAAATAAATAAACATTTAAAATCATAGATATATGGTTTACAGGGCATATGGCTATCATTATTGTCGACCATTTGCCTACTGAGTTAATGGTAATAGCATTTGTCAGGAACCAGGAAACCTTTAATCTAAAACCACTTGATGGAGTTTAAACTTGCACTTGCTGTTCTCCAGAAATGTACCTTAGTTAGTGGGCTAAGGGGTAGTTTTGGTGTGGAAATCCTCTGCCCTTTTTCTTGAGGATGGTCTGCCGTGCATCCTGGAATGCAAGACCTGGAGAGCTGGTGAGACCACAGAAGAGGAAATCTGACTCTATCCATATAGCTGTGACATCCAGCCCAAGGCATGGTATATTATGCCTGTGGAGGTTTCCAGTCTGAATATTTTAATTTGCTTTTGAAAAAGCAAGAGGATGCTTCTATGTGCCAGATTTTCTTATGAAAACTTAATTACCCAAATAAGAATTGCTCCTCCCTAATGAAGAAGTTGTCGGATGTTTGTTAAATAAGAACAAATTGCAAGAGAATAAAATATTAACTACATTTCATTAATCAGAAGCAGCACAGTAAGTCGTTGAGAAATCTACAATATCTGTGTCAAAAGATAGTTTGTTTTGCTTGGTGATTGGAGCAGGTAGTTTTATGTATGAAAGCTAAGCTATGCTATCTACTGACTCTTGTAATAGAAAAGGAAGTAGATTTTTCTTTTGCACAAATAATCATATATATTAAAAAATTCTATGCCCAAAGCCTCTAAAAATCTAGTCTTCTGAGAGGGCAGGCTTTAGATCTTTTCAATTAGGAGATGGCAGAAGAAAAGAAGATTATAAAATAAATGAGAAAAAGAAAAGATTACTTCTTAGATTCTTTTAGTTCTAGAACTATTCCTTAGCATGTGCAAGTATCTTCTGATATGGAGTTGTAGAATCTCTAGTATCACATCCAGGTTTTAGTATCAGGAACAAAAGTACATTTCAATTGCATGGACCTTGAAGGAAAATAGCCTACTAATATCAGTCAGCTTAGTAAATCTTGTATTGTATTTGACACATTACTTTACAGAGTTGTCTGCTTGTTCGCGATTTTTTTTTTTTACTTAAAAATGCTGTGTATTTTCAGGTTGGATGAATTAATTGAAACATTTCTCGAAGATAATGATCCTGATAGCACTCTGGATGTTGGTGCTGACATGCGCAAGATCAAGTATTGCTTCATTCATGTGAAGGTACTTCTTTTAAACACAGAATGAAGTGCAGCTGGCACTGAAAATAACCTGAAGATATTCATGGTTGAAAAGTGTCAAAAGAAATGCAATACAGTTGAAAGGCATTGGAAAAGGGTAAAACAATTGAACTGCTAAGTTCATGGAGGACTGATAGAAATTTGAAATTTAGTTGGATAAATTCAGCAGCATTTTATGCAAAACCCAGCAAGGATCTCAGCAAGCAGTAAATTGTAAGAGAGCACTGGAAGTTGTTGGAATTAACACAAACAAGTTATTTGTATATGGATAGATGTATCCCTCTCTATTCCCAGCACTGTGGAGGTTTTATTTTGGACAAACTATGTTGAAAGGTATAAAAATAAAGAATAAAACCACCATATCCCTGAATCTGTTACGCTAACTCTTATGATGGTGTTGTAAGCCCTTCTAAATCATTTAGCAAACAAGATACACTTAAACTAGGAAGAACAAGTGAAATTAATAGGAAAGCAATAGAAGATAATATATACTTTTCTGTATTTTGGAATATAGTTTTCCAATATAATAATGTATACATTCCTGATCTTAATTTATTGTCTTTAAGTAATTAGATTTTAGTTATATTTTTAATACTGAAAGCTCTGTGATACTAGAGAACACTGGAATTTATGTGTAGAAAGAATAAAGTAAATGCTTGGGAGTGAGGAACAACAAATACAACTTGTCCCATGCTTGACACAACACATATAATTTGACAGTCAACTGGTGGCATGATTTTGTTCTGTCAAGAGTCTAGAAAGGCCTTACCTTTTCTACCACAGCTAGGCGGTCTCAAAGTAGAATGAATGCGTAGCTGGAGGTAAAGTTAAAAGAGTGTGCTTTTTTTTTTGTTTCTCCTGATAGCAACTAATGAATCATTCAAAGATTTCTGATACAAAACTGCTCTCACAACGCACCTCTGAAGAAAAAGGCACTAACAAAGAAGCAGGAGAAGAAGAATTGAAAAAACTGAAAGAACTTCTGCAGCAAAGAGACAATGAAATCAGTATCCTTTGTGAGGAAAAATAATATTTGGGTTTCAGCTTATCTAGCTACAATGGGTTTTGTGTGTGTGAGATAGGCATTAGCTGTATGGAAGGAAATTCTCTCTACTGACCCCACTGTATTTAAGCAATTACTCCATTCCCAACTTTTATGTGGTAGGACTCCTGCTTTGCACCTGCTTCTATTTCAGTTGTGACCTAAACCAAAATCCTGGATACAAGCACCACTTAGCTTTAGAATGGTCCAGCCAAGACCCAAATACTGTGGATTAGACCACGCCTAAAACACTCTCCTCAAGCAAATTAAACCATTTTTTTAGAATGAGAAAGTCTGATCCTATATAAAGACCAATTTATTACCTTACAAAGAATAGAATTTCCTGTAAGTGCTATTTTTAGCCAAATGAAGTGCTACTTTGGGGACTATTGGGCGATTTGCCTTTAGAATAAATATAAAACTTGTACTTTTTACATGCAACTTTAAATTTATATTAAACCTAAAGCTTTTTGCATATTAAAATACTGAACTGCTCAGATGTGCTTTGTCCATTTCACTGCCTCACAGGAAACACGGGTAGCTTTACTGTTGCTCGATGGATAGGAGTTATTTTTAGGAGGTTGACAGAACTGTGGGCAGACCACAGCATCACTGTGTCCCTAACTCTGTGACTACTTGGTGGGTAAGATTTGAATATGGGAGAGAACTGAAAAAAATTGTTTTGGTTTTGTTTTGAGTTTATAGGTAACAGAGATTCCTTCACAGTTATTAGTAAAAAGGAAACTCAGTTGTGCTGAACTATTCCAGGTCAATTTTATATGTCAAATGAGAATGGCATTTTACACTGGGGTGTAGCATGCTGCCAGTCTGAATTGAGGTGGCAGGAAAGCCTCTCTATTTCTGCTCTGTCACAGAAGACAAGATGTTCATTTTGCAAGGTGCACTTTCAAATAAATTTAACTATAACACTGACTTATCATTCCTTTTAAAAAAATCTTCAATTTTCCTGTCAATTTTAAGATCTGGATTCCCAGAAACATTTCTTCCTGAAATAAATAATTTCATTAACATGAGATTGGTAATGCATTTGTGCTTGATAGATATATACAGCTTTGTTTGCAGAAGTACAAGGAAGAAACTTGTGTAAATTCATTTTAGAGTTATATAGGAAGAATATAATTAAGACTTTGAACACAACACTGATTTACAGAGTCTGCAGCCGCTAAGTGACTGTACATCATCATTAGAAAATTAATAACATGTCTAAAGTGATGAAGTGGTGGGAAGTATGGAAGCTGTTTAGACAATAAACTATGAGGTCCTTCGTGCCTATAGCAGCTAGGAGCTATCATAACAACTGAATTGTAAAGTGTTTTATTATTACTATCTAGTCCAGTCCCCAAAGACTACTTAGATTTTCTGCTATTCATTTAGAAGATTAATTAGAATTAAAATGAATAACATATCAAAAAACATATCACAGGGACTCCCATGGTTTTGGCTGAATGCACATAGAATTTTTGTTTTAAGCTCTCTATAAGCTGTTAGGCAAAATGTATTTATACTAAATATACTTCCAGTAAATACATAGTGTTATTGGAAGAAATTTCCTAATGACCTGTTCTACGTTTTAGGAAACGCTTCTATTGTGAAAAGCTTACAGATCTGACATTCTTGCCAGACTACCTGTAAGTTAAGGGTTTTTTTCTTTTGTTTGGAAATTTTGATTACTACAGAATTTAAAACATAAAAAAGGGAATGTCACACAATGGCACTGGGATACTAGAGTTTTCATTCCTGTTTGTAAATACTTTTGTCAGGCGTTGATTGAATGGGATCAACAATTATGGTCAATGTGTGAATTTGTTACTGTTTAGTAACAATGAATCTGCTGTTTGAAAAAACTAAGGTGGATGAATATAATTACAAAGAATACACCCAACTCCAAATTCATATTCACATATAGGCTTCCATAATGTGAATTGTTACACTTGGAAAAAAAAGACTTAGGGATAAACAAAGGTGATACTTACTCAATAAAAAAAAAGATCCTTAATGATTTCCTTAATGTATCTTGCAGATATTCTGGTAAATATGCTAAAAAAAGAAAAAAAGAAAGCACAAGATGCTCTTTTCCAGCTTAATGCTGCCTCTGCTGGTCCTACAGTCTTGGAGAAGTCTCTTTCTATAAACTTGGAAGAAAGTCAGAGCCCATCTAGCTGCTTTAGTCTGAAAGAGGCAAAAGATTTCAGCTCCTCAGTTCACAGACTACCTTTACTTTCCAGACAAACAGGTTAGTGTAATTAATGAAGTGAGCAGTTATTGGACTATTACAATATGATTTACAGCATATCATTCAAATGTGTACCAGAACAGGAAAATTTTATTTTCAATATCAGCCATGTTGTGCTAATTCTATATCCACAAATGCAGGGATTTAAATTTTTAGCCTTCTCAAAGTGCTGATGGCTTTTACAATCTGATGTAAATACTCTGTTGAACAGTCCTACAAAAGCAGAGTATAAATTCAGTTGCAGGCTCTTGAATCTTTGAGTAAACTCTCAGAAAAGGATTTTTTGAACATAATTTATTAAAAAATACTAGGAAATAATATTTTTCCCCTGGAAGATTTGAAAATACCTTTAAGAAAAAAACAAATCTAAACCGGAACTGCAGATACAGAGAGAATTCTTGTGCAGGCATTATTAATTGCACAGTATAATTAAACACCAATAAACACATTTTTTTTTCTTTCTTTTTTTTTAATATTCCAGCCTAGAAGAGAAATCTTACATTCAAATAAGATGAAATTTCATTAATTATGTTTCTGACTCTGATACCAGATTGTAAACACAAAACTTTTTGTGATTATCTTTAAGATTTTTTTTATATTATACACTTTAGATATCTGGGCTTTATTTAGCGTTTTTAATAAATCATAGTGATTATTTCTATTGGTAAAAAAAATGAATGCTTTTAAGTGAACTGAGACCATAGTTCCAGAAATGACAAATAGCTCCATTTTTGTTCTTGTGAGCAGCTTCAGTGAAATGGTACCTTTCTGAAGCAAGACCATAGTAAGTGTGAACAAAGTAAAAATTCATATGCTAATGTATTTTAAAAACATGTATTTTAATTGTTTCTCAAGTAGTTTAATAATTTACATAATTTGCAAACAAGTTAGACCTGAATTCATAAATAACGCATTCATTTAGGATAGCTAACACACTCAACACCATTTTACCATGTGCTATGCCTTCATCAGCAGGTAAGTACTATTTGTCTGTAGGTAGCTGATAAAAGGTTTATACCTCTTATAGTAAAGCCAGTGTATTGTTATTCATACTTTATTCTAATTGAGCTGTTTTGTAAAATTTAATAGGTGAGCATATCAAATACTGATCATGGAAAAAAAGAACTATTTGAGACAAATGGTTGGCACAGGGAATCTGCCATAATGATGAAGTATTGTCTTTGGTTAATCAATAAGTAAAAGCAAATGTAATTGATTCCCATCCTGTTCAGATAATGTGTCTTAAATGGACATCTGTCTGGGATGAGAAGGTAGTATGTTTTCAGATAAGACTTTTTTTATATGACTGGATTGTACATTATACGGTATTCTCATTCTGAAAGTAGGTGGAAACCTACTCCCTTCTTTCCAGTACTCTTTTCAATCAGTTTTGGTCAGGTTCTGATATTTTGTGTCACTCCATGTGGACATGACAACAATGAAGTCCTCAATAACCAAGATGCTAAATGTGAAAATCAAAGTCCTCCATTAGGTTTACTTTTAGTTAATTTATTTCTAAACTTTTCAGTCATATTGCTTGAGTGCTACAGATAAATAAAAAGGTTTTTTTGGACTATTTTAGGTGGCCATATATCACTGCATTCCTTTAGAGTGGCCTAACATTCTGATACAAATCTAGTCCAGTAAAGTTGGTAGCATTTGGACTTAGAATCTTCTGTAATGTATAGCAGTTTTAATGATAATACTTTAAAACATTATTTGTTAAAATGCTTGCATCAGGGAAGACTTAGAATGGCAGATGTAAAGAAGAGTAGAAACACTGTTAATACAGCACGTACGGCCTTGTCAGTATGCCTTAAACCCAACCTCAGGAGACAAATTGTCTCTGTAAGAGTATAACTGAGCATCCAGGCTGTTTCGTGCCTCCGTGTCTCTGAAAATGACAGTATTTTCTACCTAATATATAAATAGTTTTATTTTTCCTCTTTCTTTTATTTTATTTCTTAAAGTTCTGAAAGTAAAAAGCTTCAATATTTATCTTGATATTGTAACTAACATTTATATTAAAAAGTTCTTGTAGGCTGGAGTTTATATATTTTTTGAATCAGCTTGTAGGGTTTCACAGTTTGATTCTCCATGGTACCAAGAGACATGTTTGAGAAAAATTCACTGTATAACACTTATAAACATATGCAGACAGTTGATCAGAAAATGTTGAAAAAAGTCTCACTGTATGCTTATACATAGTACACATAAAGCTATCATATCAGATGTAAAGTTTTGCTACGGGAGAAGAATTTTAATCAAAGTTAGACTTAGAAGTACTAGAGCTTTTCTGTAGTCTCTAAAATTATATTTGACAATTTGAAATTTTTTAATTATATTTGAGATTTTAAAATAATATATAAAATACCAGAATGGATAATGACCCAAAACTTAGGAAAAATAAAAAAAAATATTTAAGAACATGAAGTAATAGCTAGAATAAGGCCAGAGGACTCAAGAAAAAAAAAAAAGAGAAAAGTTCTGAGAGTCAAAGGCAGTAAAAAGACAGCTAGTAATAGGACAAGCAGCCTATGTCATGATAAAACAAAAAAAAACCCAAAACAAACAAAAAAACAAAACAAAACAAAACAACCTATAAATTACAGATCAGAGAATCACAGAATTGATTAGGTTGGAAGAGACCTCTGGGATCATCGTGTCCAACCTTTGCCCTAACACCACCATGTCAACTAGACCATGGCACTAAGTGCCACGTCCAGTCTTTTCTTAAACACCTCCAGGGATGGTGACTCCACCACCTCCCTGGCAGCCCATTCCAATGCCTAATGACCTGTTCTGTGAAGACATGCCTCCTCATTTCTAGCCTGAACTTCCCGTGGCACAGTATCAGACTATGCCCTCTTGTCCTGTCACTGGTTGCCTGGGAGAAGAGGCTGACCCCAACTTCACTACAACCTTCTTTCAGGTCGTTGTAGAGAGCGTTCAGGTCTCCTCTCAGCCTCCATTTCTCCAGGCTAAACAACCCCAGCTCCCTCATATCAGACTTATCCTCCAGACCCTTCACACCTCCGTTGTCCTTATCTGGACTCACTTCAGCACCTCAAGGTCTCTCTTGAAATGAGGGACCCAGAAATGGACACAGCACTCAAGGTGCAGCATCACCAGAGCGGAGTAGAGGAGGATGATCACTGCCCTGGTCCTGCTGGCCACACTGTTTCTGATACAAACCAGGATGCCATTGGCCTTCTTGGCTACCTAGGCACCCTGCTGGCCAAAGGTCAGCCGGCTGTCAACCAGCACGCCCAGGTCTTTTTCCACTTGACCACTTTCCAACCACTCTTCCCCAGCCTGTAATGCTGCATGGGGTTATTGTGGCCGAGGTTTAGGACCCAACACTTGTTCTTGTTGAACCTCATGTCGTTGGTCTCAGCCCATCTATCCAGCCTGTCAGGTCCCTCTGCAGAGCCTTCCTACCCTCCAGCAGATCAACACTCCCACCCAACTTGGTGTCATCTGCAAATTCACTGAGGGTGCCCTCAGACCCCACATCCAGATCATCTATGAAGATGTTGAACAGCACTCGCCCCAAAACTGAGCCCTGGGGAACACTGCTAGTGATCAGCCGCCAACTGGATTTAGCTCCATTGACCACAACTCTCTTCAGTATCACTTCAAGAAAAAGACTGTATCCATATGAAGCATTGCACTTTCTTTGTAGGCAAGTTAGTGTTTTGAGATCCTTAGCTGCACAGTACCATAAAACCTCAAGTTGTTATTCCTATTTTTCTATTTTATTATAAAGCGATGACAGTGCAAAGATACATTGGTACATTCCTGGACAGCCAAAAGCTCTTAGCTCTGTTTGCTAATGGCTAGGATATAGCTCTCTTTCCTGTTGGACTCAAACCTGAATACATTTGTATGCTTTAGACTTGATTAATCCCATTTGTTCGAACAATGAAGCAAAATGTCCTGAAAGAACATCATCTGGTGAAAATCATAACAATCAACTTACATGGCAAAATAAGTTATTTGCAAATATGTACTTTTAATACTCTGTTATCCACCAAATGCATATTCTGACTTAAGCTTTTCCTTTTAATCTTCAAATTTCTGTATGGATTTGAAAAGCTTTCTCATCATGTTAAGTTTTTGACAGCCTACCGCAGCAATGAAATTGTCAGCTGGCTGGGGAGGCTTGTAAAAGAATGGGAAAGAAGTTTCATAGGGAACATTGCAAAAGTATGAAATGTTCTTAGGAGTTAGGAATTACCATAGACCTTGTCAGGACTCCCATTTAATTCTTCTAATATCATCTTGCACTCTTCAATTAATATTGCTGTTAAAGAAATTTCAGAAACTTCTGTTCTCAACCTCAAAAGTTACAAATACTGAATCATGCACCTTAAAAGATGAGATTGAATATTCAAATCATTAGATTCCAGAAGAGTGAATTTTAGAAGATATGGACTTATAAGTAATATTTACTGTCAATGTTTTGGAAAACATATTCTTCTGCATACTAGATTTTCAGAGCTGCCTAAAACCATTCCTAGAACCTGATTTTACAAGATGTTAGGGGTATGTTTCACTTTATCCATATAAATATACTACAGGATTTAAATTTGGGCTTAAACCTTTATAGAAACAGCAAATCAGTGCAAATCATATTGACCAATTAACATGGATTCTGTAAGTAAAGGAGTTTTTATAGTGATTAACTGAAAAGGGATAACTATTAAGCATTGCAGTTATCTTTCCTTACATCATCTGAGCTGGTTATTTATGACAATAAATAACAATATTCTTGCAAATCGTTATTTTCAAAATACACATAAATCAACTTCCAGTAACTGTAGACAGATTTTTGTTGCATAGTTACATGTTTTCTTTATTTTCTAATTGAATTGTTCAAATAAAAAGATTTGTTGGTGTCAGTAGGTTCTAGAAATGCTTATGTTTTTGTTAGTAAAGAAGAACACGCCTCATCCTAGATTATCATGTATCACTTTTGCATATTCGTGACTTACATT